GAGAGAGAGAGAGAGAGAGAGAGAGAGAGAGAGAGAGAGAGAGAGAGAGAGAGAGATTGGCAACTTTGGGACTTGACGACATTTGGATTCAGACTCGACATTGGGATCGAGACATTGGATGAGGGATTATTTGGGACCTGTAACGAAGACTTGGTGTTGACGACATTCCCATCTTCCCCCTCATCTTCGTCTAAACCCCCTCTTCCTCGTCTGTGTATGCTGGAGCCTGGCGCATTCTTCCTGTGTGTAGCGCCATGCCCTTCACACCTTGCGATGATGATGATGTATGTTGGGTCTGCATTACGACATTGATTGGGCTGATCATTGGTATTTTAGCATTCCGCTGCGCTATCTTGTACTATGTGAGAGAGGTCGGTTCTTGTTCTGGTCTGCACCTTTACGGTATGCGACAAAGGTACGCATGGTCAGGTCTTGGTAGGAGAAAGGGTTGTGAAGTGCAAGTGCGGTATTGTACTAAGATCAAATTATCAGATGATCAAAGTCGGTCAAACACTCGGGCTGATCTGGGATCCAGTGGATAAAAGAGAGCCAAGTGTGTGTAGGGGAGCACCACACCTCTGATGTGAAAATGACTGGCCAATAAGTTTTCGCAAGATCCCATAGAATCATGGCATAGAGTTTTCGCAAGATCCTTTAGAATCATGGCATAGATCGAAATGCCAAGTGAAGAGTGGGGGTAAGAAGCTGAGTGCGTACCYTTTGCCAATTATTACCCGCCGTAATACTGAAGATAATACAGTGGATAAGACAGTGGGCGATAATGCCGACACTACAGCAGATAATTCTGATACAGCTCCAGATAATACAGCGAGTAATACACTGTATTATCAGGTATTTCCCGCTGTATTACCAGGTATTTCCCGCTGTATTATCAGTTATTACCGCTGTAATACTGTGAGGATAAAGCCCTCGCAGTGGCCTTTCAGGCCGTGGCACCAGACAGACAAGGGGGCCCAAGCAAGCCTCGTGCCCACCCTAAGGGAAGTTGGGCCTGCATTTCAACACGAGGCCTATTTTTGTCATTTTCGCAGGTTGTGGTGCCAGACAGTTGCTACGCGCCAGTTGGTCACAAGGCCCACATCTGTGGGATCACGACATGCTGAGCCTCAAGGCTCACTCAGGCAGCGACGTGGCTGGAGGTCAAGCAGAACGCAGCGTGTGACGCTAGCCACGTCGCACAGTTCGGCCACTTAACTGCTGCGGTCCCAGGCCACATCTGCAATGGGCCTGGGCGCAGATACTTAGGCCCGAGTCCAGGCTACTGGGAATGCGGCCTCCTGCCTCGCCCAGCCAAGCACATTCTGGCTGGACGCAAGTGGGAGCCCACGCTGCTGGGACAGCACTGGCAGGCTGCCTGGGCGCTGGTTGGACGAGGGCGCACATGGGGGCAGGCGGTGAGAGGGGCGCTGCTGGGCAGCGAGCGCGAGCGGCGATAGCCGGGCCTGCTCACGAGTAGGCTGGTGTGGGTGATGGTGGTCTTCGGGAGGAGGCGCACAATGTGGGGGATAGGGAGGTGATGAGAGAGAGAGAGAGAGATGAGAGACACGTACCTGGTGTATGCGGCGGTCTGCATGGTTGACTTAGTCACGTAGATTGGTCTTCAGCTCGAAGTGGTTCCTGTTGCATATCGTAGTGCATAGTAGAGTAGGTTCTGAGTAGCTGTAGGCAGGGCGCTGGCGCCAATCAGGAAGGGCGACATTGGATACAACGTGTATGGTGGCGAGAAAAGGCCGACATTGACGTTTGAGATCATTGTATTGCTCGTATTTGGCTTGTATCAGAGTGCATTGAATGCATTCTACTTTCTGCTTGGTACATGACTATCTGGTCTTCAATGTGATATTGCAATTTGGTTTTCTGTCTGCCGCTCTCACTCATTTTCCTTGCAGTGGATAATACAGCGGGTAATATGGCCGACACTGCAGCAGATAATATTGTTGATACTACTGCGGGTAATACTGCTGATACTGCTGCAGATAATGCAGTGGATAATGCACTGTATTATCAGGTATTACCCGCCGTGATACTGCGGATAATACTGCAGATAATACATCAGGTATTACTGCACAGAATACTGTAGATAATACATACATCAGGTATTACTGCAGATAATCCTGCAGGTAATACAGTGGATAATATGGCGGGTAATACTGCCGACACTACTGCAGATAATCTTGTTGATAATACTCTGATCATCAGGATAACCAAGTCCATTATCTGACCTCGCCGCACCACTCGTCATACACCAACTTTTGTTTTTCAAGACCCAGCACGATTATCAGTACCGCCAAGTTTGTGTCACCACCAACATATCGTTGTAGTCATGAACGTTTGTTGAGTTTGGTGGGGCGGAACCACCAACTCAGTTTACATATGAGCCATATATGATCAGGCACTCATATTCCCCCCCAGTTCTGTTCCCCCCCTCTAATAGCAGGATCAACCATAACCCATCCTTCCAGACATCCATTAAAATTTGAACACTACAGAGAAGATAACCATGGCCCCTGCACAACGATGACACGAAACACACACACACACACACACACACAAAAAAAAAAAAAAAAAAAAAAAAAAAGGATGAACCATAACCTGCTGGGAATTCTGAGTGAAACAAATAAACTTTAATTAATATCCTCGCCACTACCTCTTGAAAAGTCACACCGGCCCCTGTATACAGGAAAAAAGAACTGTGGCAGTCGGATCACCAATCCAAGAAACCAACTGAAAAAGGGCAGGCCTCTTGGTATTGGGTTGCTCGGGTTTTTAACTCTGAACTTCTAAAGAGTATAAACTACACTCTGAAGAGCGAACAATTCATTCCCTGAGAGTTTGAAGACTGTCGGCTGCGATGATGGAGAATAAAAGGGCTATTGCTCATGTATATGAGGCAAAAGGGAGGGGGGGAGGGGGGGGAAGAGACCATAGAATCACCTAGGGGATCTCACGAAACCAGGACCAGTCAGTGGAATTCCAAAAGTTATATCTGTTGAATTGTGAGGGGTGGGAATGGAAACATGAAGGGCATAAGCCAGAAGAGAGGAGAAGAGAGATGGGCAGTACAAGAGAAAGTGAGAAGAATGGAAAGAAAGAAACTGAGGTACACAAAAGAAAAAGATCTAAGAAGTTAGTAAGAACAAGACAATGCAACCAGCTCTTGTTTGATTCATGAGAAGAAGGAAAACCATCCAAACACCAAACCAGATTAAGATACATGAGTACAGAAATATCTTACCCACCCAGACTCTTTTGTCCCCAAACTGCTCCTTCAGCTCCTTGCACACTTGCTCCACTCTATCACCTACAGCCACCACCTGCCATCATCGTCAGAACACAATACTTGTCGTCTCTCTCTCTCTCTCTCTCTCTCTCTCTCTCTCTCTCTCTCTCTCTCTCTCTCTCTCTCTCTCTCTCTCTCTCTCTCTCTCTCTCTCT